CGGTAGATTTATAATTTTTCTACAAGAGTTCATATATATCTGGTCTCGTAGAAAGGAAAGGATCAATTTAAGAGTAATTTCCTTGGATAGTCACTCATGTTTGGGAAATTACCTAGGAATATCACTTATGTTTGTTTTAGGATCACAATATCACCCAACTTTACCTCTTTTCCTCAAAATATACTTGACACAAAAAAAAATATTATCTCTCTCCTAATAGGATACCATGTCACATTATTCCTTTTTTATTATTAGCATTTTTTTAATTCCTTTTTTATTATTAACATTTTTTAAAATTCTTTAAAAACATTATATCCTTTGTAGTTTGACAATATGGTTACCTTATTACTCTAATGAATTAAAATATCAACAAAAAGGGAGTCCGAACCTAAAAGGGTCATTTTTTTCCTTCAAAAAACAAAAAGGGCACATAAAAAAAAAAATTAACCAAAAGGGCAAAATCCCTCCTGACGAATCGATTTTCTTCTGACAAAAATTGACGTTGTTCCGTTAAAAGAAATAAAAACCGCTGCATTTGACAGCGATTTTCTCAAAAAAAAATAAATTATTATTTCTTTAAAATCGCTGCTATAGCAGCGTTTTTATAAAAATAAAAATAAAAAAAAAAGTGAAATTGCTGCTATAGTAGCGATTTTTTGTTAAGGAATTAAAAAAAAAAACATAAAGAACAAGTTTTAAATTACATAAATTTTTGGCGGAAGCCATTTAAAAAAAATAATAAGTTTTTTAAAGAAAAAATCGATGCCGAAGCAGCGATTTTCAGTTTTAATTTTTTTTTAATTTTCATTTAAATTGCTAAAAGGGTAAAGATTTTTTTTAAAAAAGCTTTTCATGAAAATCGTTGGCTTCAGTTTTTTTTTTTTTTTAATTTTTATTAAATTCTCTGCAAGGGTAGGATTTTTTTTTTTTAAAAAAAATAATTTCTTAAATAATTCAGCACTTTTTTTTTAATTTCTTAAACAAAATCGCTGCAATAGCAGAGATTTTTCTTTTAATTTTTTTAATATAAAAATGCTGTTATAGCAGCGATTTTAAAGAAAAAATATTTTTTTGAGAAAATCGGCAGAGATTTTTATTTCTTTTAGCGGAGCGGCGTCAATTTTTGTTAAAACAAAATCGCTCCGTCAGGAGCGATTTTCCCCTTTTGGTTAAATTTTTTTTTTGATGTGCCGTTTTTGTTTTTTAAAGAAAAAAAGTTACACTTTTGGCTCCGGACTCAACAAAAAAGTGTCATTGCCCATTAGTGTCCATATAAAAACATTATCTCGCTTGAAAAATCGGAGGAAGCCACATATTTTCTTGAACATATTTGGTTTTGCCGCCTAATCCCCTAGAACTAAGATAGAAATTTTTGGGCTATGTAATTTTTTTTACTAGGTAATATGGGTTGTCTAAATTTTTTTTTTAAAAATGTTAATATGAAAAAGGAATATTCCTGTGACATGGCATCCTATTAGGAGAGAGATAATGTTTTTTTTTGTGTAAGTATATTTTGAGGAAAAGAGGTAAAGTTGGATGATAATGTGGTACTAAAACAAACATAAGTGATATTTCAAGATAATTTCCCAAACATGGATGACTATCCAGGAAAATTACTCATCAATTTAAAATAACACATGCTAATCACGTATCTTCCTTGCTTAAAGTGACTTCTAGTGAGATTTATTAAAAATATATGTTAGATAATATTTATAGGTTTTAACTTTCTACGTGCATAAGTAGACAAGTAAATTTGTATAAATTAGATGAACAATCGGATATACACGTCTTACATAGCATAATACAAATCAATTTGAGTGTATCTCACACAAATTATCATGTAGAATGTGTGTTTCTACTTGTTCAACTTTATATAAATTTTAAGTATCTATTTATACACACCCAAAACTGAATGACATAAATGCGGGTTAAATTCAAATTAAAAATTATATTTGTATATTATGACTTTAAATTTTAAAAAAAACACAAAGAGATAATATTAATAAATTATTTTTAATTAATATCATTAACTGACTTGCCCCATAAAGAAGTTTTTGTTTTGGACGATTATGAAAGTAATTTTTCAAAACCAATGGGGCCAAACAGAAACCAGTATAAACAAAAATAAGTGCAAATATTAGTTGAATATAGGAAGGATTAGTAGATCCACATATCAATAATGAAGTGAATGATATTTTCATTTTAGGAATTATCTTGACTATTATCATTTTTGTATTGTGACCCTTTTTAAATAATGCTTATAATAATATATTTTTTATTGGTGATTTATTTGAATTTCTTTGTGAAAATATTGAAAATTTATCTTTTACTTATTTTTTTGACAAAACTATAAAATTAAAGATACATAAGTCTTTTATCTCGTAAATCCATAAAGCTTATATCCCATACGTTCAGAGTTATATTTATTTAATTATCTTTAATTAAAATTTGTTAGTTAAGACGGATTTCTAGTCCTAGTTTAATTTGGTTTGTTAGTATTATAAATAGGGGTACTTTATATAGATAGATACAAGAGTTTTAGCTTTTATTGAATAAAGTCTTTTATCTCCTCTTTGTAGATTAATAAATCTCTTCTACATAACTATTATTGGGTCTTTCACTTGTGTATGTATTATTAGTTTGAGTAATTTTACTTCCTTCAATTTATAAAAAAACATTACATAATTTTTAAATATTCAAAAGATTAAAAAAATAATATTAAAATTACATAAATACCATTAACTAGAAACAAACATATTGACCAAGAGATATTAGCTTCTAAGCCTTCTATATACAGTAGGGGCGGAGTCACCTTATAGTCAGGGGATTCATCCGAACCCTCTTCAGCGGAAAATTATATTATTTATACATGATTAAAATAATTTTCTATTTATATATAGTAGATGTTGACTCCGCAACTGATATAAAGTAATAACAAAAGTAAACACTATACAATATTATTCTTTATATAGCAATTCCTATTCTAGTATCGATTATCTATATGTAAACTAGTTGGTACACCAAACGACCCAATTAACAAAGTCGTCAACAACCCCAACCACAAAAGTTGAAGTCTAGAAATGGCTAAATTTAAGGACATTTCTTTTCTCTGTTTCTAATAGTATGAAAGCGTGAAATTGTGGACAATTCCAACTTTGAAGTTGTGTCTTTTTTACATTATTTAGCTAGATTATGACAAGGAAAAAAGGAATCTTTCATCTATAACTCCTACTCTATGCCTTTTCTACAAGAAGCGTCAACCAACGCATATTTTGTAATATGATAATCGAAACATAAGAAATAATAAATAGCAACATAAATAGAAGGAGATGAAATTACAAAGAGCAATATTATAATTAATAGCATGGACGAAATAGCAAGACAATACACTTCTGTCGATTAACCTCGCTCTTACCTTAATTTGTGCCCCTATAACTTTCTATCTAAGGCAAGGGCGTAACTATAACTATCCCAGAACACCATTCGTTAAAAAATTACATTGTATATGTATGTCAAATTCTATATTTAAAGGATATATATTTAAAGTTGGACACCCTTAACAAAAGCTATGTCTTTAGTGCAGTGGTAATAGATGTTCATTTGAACGAAGAAGTTTCAAATTTTTCAACCATTTTTGCTCATGCTAGTGCCCCTATTTGAATTGGGAATAACATAATTTTAACAACCACCCACCGTATTAAAACTACATCATATCTTATTTAATTATATTTCTTCGATACTTTTTGCCGCCTATATTTATCTCTTTTTGAAATCATATATAATCAACCAGTCAAAACTCGGAAGTGTGAGTTTTTCAATAATTCCGTTTGTAAAAGCAAGATACTTTAAGTTATTTCGGAATACATGGAAGAAGAAATAATCCACCCGTCTAATATTAGTTCCTCGCTGTACTATTTTGGGATATCTAATACATATTTATTTATTTTATGAAATTAATGGATTATTTTAAATTTTTATTTCCTAATTTATATTTATCATTAATTATAATTATTTCTTTATTACATTTTCAATATATTGGACTCCCCCCTTCCCCGTCCACTTTTCATTGTGGCATGTTGTACTTTTCGAAAGTTAATTTGACTAATTTCAAAGTTAAATTAGATGACATTAATTAGATATTTTAAACAAAAAATCTAAATATTTAAAAACTATAGGAAAAATACTATAAATGCAATTTTTTGCGTATCAATATAATGAAAAAATACATTATTAAGTGTTAATCAAATTTTTTATATTTTGATTTTTAAAAAAAATCATGACAATTAAAAGTTAACAGAGAGAATATTTATTATATTCAAAAAGTTATAGGTTAATAGTAAAATCACCTTATGAAAAATACAGTATGTAAAATTGTACCTACAATGATAGATAAGTATTGTTGAACAGGTTGCTGTCAAGATTTGGAGGGAATTCTCCGGATCCACTTTGAAGATAACGCCAGTTATTACAAATTTATTTCAAAGACAGCTCAATCGTTACTTCTTATAATTAAATATGACATTTATTTTTAATTCAATAAAATCAAGAAAGGATGATTCTCAACCATAAAATCCTAGTGATGCGTCTCATAAAAGGAGTTTGACATTTTTGTGTTGATTCATACATTATTAGCAATATGTTAAACACTTACTTATCAAACTGTCAATTGTTATACTAAAATATTATCTTTCAAAAATAAAACCAATCCGAAATCATTTCATCCACTACACCTCCAGATTTTGGCTAATCAAGCTTTATTTAAATGCATTTCAATTACAAATATATTATTTACTTTGATTAATTCTATTAGTAGAACAAACAATGTATTTTTGTATTAACATAAATAATCCAGAAATAATTTAGATTATAAATTTTTAAAAGTATTGTTTTTCCTTTTAAACTTTATACTAATATCATGTATATCGAAACGAAAATGATACACACAGTAGGTGCTTAAAATTGATAATTAAATATTAGACGAAAATGATACACACAGGAGGTGCTTAAAATTGATAATTAAATATTAGACGAAAATGATACACGCAGGAGGTGCTTAAAATCGATAATTAAATATTAGACGAAACTACACAAATCCAAACTCCAGAAGTACTAGTAACAATTATTATCAATATTTTCCGACTGTAAAAAAAGGGAAGAAAATGGCCCTCACTCAAAGGTGCGAAGGCAAAACTGCAACGTCTTTCAACCCTAAAAGTCCACACAATTCCGGAAACAACGATTTCCTCATCTCTGCATACACTTTACCATCCCAACGCTTTTTCCCCAGCTCCTCCGCCAGTCGCACCGCCGCATCCACAGTCTCCTCCGCCGTACCATGCGCCGAATCCACCATTCCCAGCCTCACCGCCTCCTCTCCCCTAATCTTCGCCGTTTTCAACACCAAATCCCGCTGAGCACCTGCCGATCCAATCTTAGACCTTATCATCGCCATGAAATAATCCGGCAAAGTCATTCCTATATCCAATTCACTCATATACAACACGCCTTTATCCGATCTCATCGTTTTATAATCATGACTCAGCGCTAACAACAGCCCTGCCGCCGCAGCGTGGCCGGTAACGGCAGCGATGGTTGGAATCGGGAGAGACATGAAATCGGCAACCACTGGCTTTAACAAATCCACCATGTTCGTAAGTCGATCGACAGCAGCTTTTTCTGAGCCGCCGGCTTGTGCATACTTTAGATCAAAGCCGTTGGAGAAGAATCTTCCATCGGCTTTGGTTATTAGAACAGAACCCTTCACGGATTGGGATTTAACTTGCGCTAGTGTTGATCGGAGGGTCGCGATGAGAGTAGGATTCAACCGGTGCTCGTCGTCGCCGGTAAGCGTAAGGTAGAAGATGTTGCCGGTTTTTTCTAATGTGCACATAGTGGTGGGGAGGAAAAATGATTCTGTTTGCTTTGAGATGTGTGTTGCGTAGGATAAAGATGACGGATATTCTGAATAATGAAAGAGAAAGTGTATGATATATAATGAATAAAAAGTTTAATTAATTACACTAACGGCTCGTTTGGCATGCGATATGGTATCATGATACGGAATCATGATATAGTATTATGATATGTAATCATGAGATGAAATTGAAAAGTTTTATTTGGACATGCTATATGAAATTTTTGTGTTGTATATTTTCCCATAAATATAAAAATCTCAGTTGTAAAACTATTAAAATAGCCCCAATTGTTTATTCAATCTTATCAAATAAACAAAAAATTATAAAATCGCATAATAAATTATTACAAAGCTATTTGTTCTCCACTTAAGCAATTGTTTCATCTAACTTTAATTTATTTTTAAAAAAAATTGAACATAAATTGTAGTGTACTAGTCTTTAATATAATCCTCCCACATAATACGGACAATTTTCTCACGTTGAACTTGCATTTCTCGATCATGTGATCGAGAAAACGAACCAACATTGTTACTTTGAGCCATTTGTTGGTCAATATCATCCGCAACTATATTTTCATGCTCAGAGACCATAAATATTTCATCACTTTAACAATCGATTTGTATGAGTTAAAGTGACTATATGTTGGTGAGAATAATAAATTTTAAAAAGTAATGATGTGATTATAAACTTTATTTACATATGAAATAAATAGTTAATAGATATAAATGTGAGGTTGTTTTAACAAAATATAAACTTGTAAATCAATTTTTGTATTGAAAATATCTCAAATCATGATAAGGAATTACCATATAATTTCATATCATGATTTTTGGAGAATATGGAATCACATCTCATGATATGTAATCATGAGATGGAATCAGCGTAAAATCGCATGTCCAAACGCTGATTCCATCTCACGATACCATATTGTGATATGATATCGCATGCCCAAATGCCTACTAAATGCTCTTATGGTATTACTTAATTACGGATAGCTCCTACATATTTTTAAATCAAATATTTACGTCCCTTATATTATAAAAGTTCTATATTTATACCTATAGACATAGTGTTATTTCTTTTTTTTTGTTTGTTTTTTATATGGTGTTCGAATTCATTTAGGAGTGTGATCAACAGAACCTTTCGACAAATTCAGAGCTCAAACTCAAAAATTATGATTTAGAATGAAATAGTTCCATCACTATAAATAATCTGCATTTATATGCAAATAAAATTCCATCTAATTAATCAGGTATTCTCGCTGTTCACTTTTTCCTAAAATAGATTTTCATATTTTACTTATTATTTTTGACATATCAAGAAACGACAATTATATTTTTTTCATGTTTACCCTCAATATTAAATATTCTTTCTTCAAATCATTTTTGAAAACTTAATATTAAACATCATCTAATAGGGATAGTTTGATAAAATACATGTATCAATAATTATTTTTTTAATGAGTGTATCGTGTCAAAATGTAACAAGTAAAAGTGACTGGAGGAATTATCATTGTAAAATGAAAATAAATAATTAAAAAAATTACATATAGTAAAATTATAAAATAAAAACTTGTGTATTTAACAAAGTGAGAATTTTTTTTTTATTACTAACTGCTATAGGTTATAAAATAATTTATGTTTGTTTTTCTATTTATGGGTCACGAACATAATACATAAACATGATTTTAAATTTGATTTCAACGGATAATTATGTCTTCCAACTTTGAGTGTACACAAGGAAATACTTGTATAAAATTGAACAAATAGATACACATGACCTACATGATATAATACACGTAGGATGTCATGTAGGTTACAAAATTACCATATAGGGTGTCATGTAGGATAAATGTGTCAATTTGTTCAATTATATACAAGTTTAAGTGTCTAATTATGCACACTTAAATTAAATAGCATAGCTACCAACTGACACCAAATTTAAGAGTCATGTTTATGTATTATGCCGACTATTTCAAAAGATATTAAATATTTTTAACTAAAGATATTTTGTTAAATCGTTTGTCTTCATTTGAATTTTTATATTTTTTCTTTGATATAAATACTCTTTTCATTTATTTTATTTATATTCATTATATTAAGGGTTCGTTTGGCCATGCGATATAAAATCATGATTAGAAATATAACGAAGTTGAAGTTTTACCTAGATATGTAATTTGAATTTCTTATGTTATATGTTTTCTCAAATACACAAAAACTCTATAAGTTGTAAAACTATTACATTGTCCCAATTCTTTATACATTTTAAAATAAGCAAAAATTTATAAAATCACATAATATACTATCACAAAGTTATTCGGAAAAAAATACAATATCTATTCATCAAACTATAATTCAATAAAAAAAAAATGGACACAAGTTGTATTGTTGTAGTGTATTAGTCTTTAATATAATTCTCTCATATAGTATGAGGGACAATCTCTTTATATTGAACTTACATTTCTCGATCATATAATAGAGAATACGAATCAACATTGTTATTTTGAACCATTTATTCGTAAATAAATTTGATCAATGTAAATGATATGGTAATAATTGATTTTGAGTAATAATAAAAAATTTATACATGTTGGTGAAAATAATTGTCATATGAGAAATAAATAATTTAAAAAGTAACAATATAAAATCATGAATTACAAATTTTATTTACTTATCAAATAATTGGCTAGTAGATATAAATGTGGGGTGCTTTACAAAATACTTCCTCTGTCTCTAATTACTTGTTCACTTTTGAATCGACACACCTATTAAGAAAACAATTAATGACATAGTGAGTTTACCATTTTACCCCTATTAATTATGAAATGGATGAAAAGTTCTACATTTTTCAAAGCAATTAGTTATTTAATTGAGGATATAATAGGTAAAAAAAATTGTTATTTCTTGATTTGTCAAAATGGATAAGTAATTAGGGACAACTAAAAAAGAAAATGTGGACAAGTAATTAGGGACAACTAAAAAAGAAAATGTGGACAAGTAATTAGGGACAAAGGGAGTAATTTCATACTACATTCATCTACTTTTAACTGTCATAGTTTTCTTTTTTAGAGTCAAACTATAAAAATTTTGACTAATATTTTATGATGTATCTTTTCATCATATTGATATGTAAAAAAATTATAATTTATAATATTTTTCGTATAATTTTTAGATATTTAAATTTTTTATTTAAAATATCAAATTAAAATAATTTAATTTAACTTTTAAAATTTTTGTCAAATTAACTTTTAAAAATATAACATGATAAATAAAAATGTAGGATGATAGAAGTACCACAATTGGGTCCCTGTGCGCAATTAGTGATGAATTGCCAAAAAAGTAGCTTTCTTGTAAAGCGATAAACACGAATTATTTTATTTGACTTTTACCACCCAACGGCCAACGCCCTTATCTTCCATTGTGATACTCTCTCCGTTTCTTTTATATGTCATTTCTTTTTATAAATAAATTTATAATATTTGTTATTTTATAAAATTAATGTATAAATTATCATATTGATTCTTTTTTATCCTTATAAGTTATTAGCCTTGAAGGATATACATTTGACCAACTTTAAAACGTTAAGTAAATAATTTATGTTCATTGATTAAATTAATTAATCAAAATAAATTAATTCATATTCATTGATTGAAAACTTGAGTTCCAAAAAAATTAAATAAAGATAGAATAATAAACTTAATTTTTTAATGCACATAAAATTTAAAATTGTGACATATAAATAGAAACGGAGAGAGTATTTCATACTCCATTTCGCACCTAGCAGAAAATATATCATTATCACACTATTTTATAGTATTCTAATTTAACCTTGAGAGAAGGTCATATTGTTTCTTGGAATTAAAGTCTGAGTACCTTTCAACTAGTTGTTTAGAGTTGATATATGTCTTATTATAAAAATAATTTATATATATTTTATGATTACACAAATGATTGAAATATATTCTTTTTTCAAATATAAGTGAACAAAAAATAAATAATTTTAAACAAGATGAAATAGCTCGAATTATAAACAATTTTCACTTTTAATCTTTGAGTTGTGAATTCGAGTCCACAAGGAAGCAAAAAATGAGAATTTGAGTTTTAAAAAATAATTATATATTCAATTTTAAAATTTTTTGTTAAGAAAATATTCCCACGCATATTTTTTTTTCTTTTATGATTTAGTGGTAAATTTAGATTTATTATTTTTTATGGTTAAATTTATTTATTTTTTTATAAAATTTATCATATATATCTTTAAAAGATTTTTAAAATACAAAAAGTAAATTATAATATACCCAAAAAGTCAAATTCAATACCTCTCTCTATTTCGAATAAAGAAAGTATATTTTTTCAAAATATTAAAAATTAAATTAATAAAAACATATCTAACTTTCTAGAAATAAGTAATTTTTTAAAGAGATAAGCCCACTCCAACTGTAATACTACCGCTTATTTTTTTTTAAATAGAGAAAATATTACTATATATTTTTGTCATTCGAAGTTTGTCGTATTTGATATTGCTTGTGGAAAAATATTTTTCTCTTTGACTGTCAACAAAAATGTACAAGCCATCTTGGTATACTTGTGGGCTAAGTCTGGCAACGGAACCGGAAGGTGCTGGTTCCGGTCCGTTTCGGTCCATTATCGGTTCCGTCTCGGTTCCGGCTTGTACCGGTTAGATCCGGACTTACGCGGGTCTGGGAGGGGTAACGGGACGGAAGCCGGGATTTACCGGTTAGTCCCTATTCCGGTCCGGTCCGGTTCGTTAGTTTTTCTTTTTTTTTAAATCTTAAATGTATATAGCCGTTGAGAGCCGTTGGGCAACGGGTTTTGGGCCCCACCAATGGCTCTTTCACCCCATAACTCCCCTTTACACCTCCCTACGCCCCAATTTTTTTTTAACACCCCAACCAGTTGTGGCACATTTATATAGAATTTTGTTTGTGTTCATTAATTATTTATTATTTCTAGTATCTTATACACCCTTCATCCATTTTTATTTGTCACATTACGCTTTTCAAAAGTCAATTTAACTAATTTTT